TATATATTGCACTGTTACTGAAGAAGTAACATCAATAAATAAATATTGCACTGAGTTATTGCTAAACATTAAATTGAAGACAAAACTAAACTTACATTTTTTGCCAGAAATATTTTTGTAATCACAGCATTTTTTTAAAATTATTTCGTTCCGTCTTAAAAAGTTCCAGAATTTCTAAATAACTTTATATTCTCATTTTTTAATAATATATCCAAAGCAAAGAGGCAGATGAGGCTAAGACATTTTTTTCCCCAAAGTATTTATTTAAAAAAAAATATGTGGCTGCCATATATATATATATATATATATATATATATATATATATATATATATATATATTACTGGATCATGAAGGCAGCTTTTGAAAAGTTCCCAATATGGGAAAAAAAAAAAAGACTGTTTATGGTTTCCCAAAACAGCGGATTGGTTTGGATGCAAAGCCTAAACAAGGCTTTAAAACATTTAAAACAAGGTGCTTTATTATCCCTACTACTTTGCCAAGATTTATCCCATTAAAGTCTGGAATGCCCTCACGTGGGAAAAGGATTGAATGTGAACACAGTCGACTCCTTTGTCCTGCCTGGTTCATACGTGTGGATTTGTGGTAGTGGTGTGCGGAGGGGGGGGGGGTTTGTTGTGAGTGAGTGTGCAAAGTCTGATTGAGGATGCCCTGCTTTTTGTTTCCTCTGGGCTATTTTTGGCCGGACACAACTGGAAGCTCTGTTCTGTGTAACTAGTGGGACGAATTTGTCTCCCTTGTGTGTGTGGGCTGATTTATCCGCAGGATGCTGCGTTTTCAGCTGTTCTGTGGAAGGAACATGAAAAGCAATCTTCAATATCAGGTGTCAAGACAATCTGAATAACATGATTTGATTTGTAAGGGTTTCAGAAGAGGGAGTTTTTCCTTGATTTGTGTGTAAGCAGCTGTTGGTGAATTAATTTGCATGCTTGACGCTGTGTTTTTGTTTTCTGTTTTTAGGGAGAAGTTGGCAGTGGCTCGCCTTCAGAGGGAAGTCGCACGGAGCAAGAGCGAAGGAACAATGGTGAAGTAGATTCTCTTCTCTGAAATCTGTTTTCAATAAAAGAAAACCCACTGTGTGTTTGGTATATGGGGCTACAATGATGCCATAAATTTTGTAAAGGAAAAACAAAAACCCGAAACTCAAAAAATATATGAAACCAAGAAAATAACTCAGAAAAATGAAATGAAAAAGGGTTTAAAGCTAAAAGGTATTTTGAAACAGCAAAAAAAAAAAAAACAACAAAAAAATTAAACTAAAAAACAAAAAAAGAAATAAACTAAAAGGGAGTGTTTGACGCTTCTATCCAAAAAATAAATTAGTTTACAGTTTCAAAACAATGCTTTTGGTTTAGCTTTAATTAAATGATTTTAGCTAATAAAGATAAAATTTTAAATTCAAATTTTTTCGAGAGGGTATCGCAAATTTACTCGTATAAATCTCCGGCCCCTGATAAAGCCCTGCACATTAAACAAGAAGGAAAAGGGAAACTGAACATTAAACTGCGCATACATCCAAATCAACATTTCAGCAGATATAATGCACATGGGCGGTTGTTGAACAACTTTTAGGTGAATTACTGCCACCAACTGGTGTAGAAGTTGCAAGTTCATACTTTCTATTTCTTTTCTGCTTGTTATATAATGTCTAAATTTGTAAAGTATAGCAACATCTGATGTCACATGTATATATGTGTTGGAAAAAGAAAGCAAATCTTAGAATTTATTATGTTTTTCTACTTTACTGGTCCAACTCTCAAAAACAAATTATATTAGGTCTCTGAACATCTTTTTTCCATTTCAGTGAAAATCTGATCAAAACTTTAACTATATACAATTTATTTCATGTTGGTGATCATATTTTACAAATAGGTGATAAAAAGCTACGCTGTGTTGTTGCTTCCTCCTCACTTTGAGACCACTCACAAACGCAGACAATGGTGTTCAGGAGATGCTCACATCCCTGTCTGAGCAGCCTGTCTTATCTTTAAGGCAGGTCGGAAAGTGCAAAGTTGAAGCATGTGATGAAGCAGAGCTCAGCTGATGCTCCCACCGCAGGCTCAGCTGTTTGGCTTCACTCAGGTGACACCTCTGATCCTCGTTATGGCAACAGGCCTAGAGCACCAGCATTCACATGCGGCAGGGGATGGTAAACTATCAGGATTTCCAGCCTCATTTTATTGAGCATCCCTGCAGCTGAAAATGTTTGTTTTCTCTTCATGCCTCACCCTGTTGTTGAGGAGGTCAGAGCATGATGCTGGAGACTCTTGAGGTTTTTGCCTGAGGACACTGGAGCTCTTGCACGGTGAATGTTCTAGTTAGGAGCTGTTTCAAAGAAGCGGCAGTGTTAAGAAATAATTGCACACATTCAGGTTAACCTCTGTCCAAAGAAAAACAAATATTGATCCATTTATTCCTTAACATCCACCATCCATCCATCAATCCATCCGTCCGTCCATCCATCCATCAATCCATACATCCATCCAATTCAATTTAGTTCAAATGTAATATAAATTCCTTTAGTGCCCCACAATGGGTAAATTCACTCTCTGCATTTGATCTATTCTCTTGGGGAGCAGTGTGGAGTAAACATATGTCATCTCAAGGCACTTTACAGAGATAATTCAACCAGATCATACAGTCCGATTGATTCAAAGTTTTCTATCTAAGGAAAACCAGTTGATTGCATCGACTCATTGACTCAAAAGCAATCCCTCACACTAAGCATGCTTGTAGCTGTCATGATGGGCTTTAGGGATCTGATCCACATGCAGAAACACACTCAGAAGCCAAGGGAAAAAGTTAACAGGTTTATTGTGGTTGACAAAAACACAGACAGAGAGATATACAGCTGGGTAACAATGTTGGACCTCAGCGTACTGGTGAACCGGAAACTGTTTGGGAAACTCTTGGTTAATCTTTGAATCCAGTTTGTGGGGCCTTATCCAGAGATGAAAGAACTCGTTGGAGGGCGAACAGGCAGACCGGGTTTTCCTGAAGAGGACTTGAACAGATCATGTGGAGGTTTCCCCTTGCTCAATTGTGACTCGTTTATCCGTCCAGAGGGGCAGAAGGTCTAGGCTTATCCAGTGGATCAGGAAGGCTTCCCAATAGACCTTTTTCACACTTCCGGGTTTTAAAGCGGATGTGGGGTTTGACAACTTCCGGTGGCTATAGCGTTAGCATAAAAGTCTAAGAAAATGGCTCAGTCTCGGCGCAGTTGTTTTTGTTCTGTACCTGGTGGGTCATGTGGGACAAAAAAACAGCCATATCT